CTTCATGACTCCCATTCTGACCCTTTTACATTCATCTTCTCAATTGCTTTCAGTAAAATAAAATGTGTCATGTCCTTGCCAGCTTTAAAAAAAATCATCTTTAAGATTTATATATTTATATATGGTATTTTATTTACATCTATGTCTGTGTGCTACATTCCTGCAGTGCCTGAAAGTGGCCACAAGGGAGCATCAGATCCCCTGGAACTGAAGCTACAAACGGTTGTGAGCTGCCTTGTGGGTTCTGAGAATCTAACCCAGGTCCTCTGGAAGAGCAGAGTGGTCCTAACCGCTGAGCCATCTCTCCGGTCTCAGCCTGAGACACACACAGGACACTCACCATGGAGCGGCCATCTCCCCTCCTCACTCTCACTTCCCCAACTCCAACTCCCCGACCTGCTCCTACCTGCTCCTGGAGCAGGCCTGGCCAGCAAGACCACACTGAAGGTGGCAATCATCACCCAGTACGGCCGTCACGGCCACTGTTGCGACAGCTGGTGGTCCGAGGTACTGATATCACCTCAGCTTATAAAGATATCAGTCACTGCTGCCTCAGAGCTCACGCAGCAACCTGGGGGCTATGCTTTGGAGGCTCAGAAGGACCAGGCACCCCCAGTGCACCCCCAGAGCCACTCCACAACCTTGGCAGACAAAGTAGGGCTAAGGCAGAACCCCTAGCTCCACCCTAGCACCCAGAAAACAGAGAAATGGATGTCAATACTGCCAACCACTACGCTGACAGCAGACCCTCACGACATGGCCATCCACATTGTTCCCTCAGGGAAGTCAGTAAGTAGATGGTGACCACACTGTCCATTCTCCCGGGGAACTTGGTGTTAGAGAGACTTGCCTGGCTTGTGTGAGTCAAAGCCATTGATTTGATCATCAGTATGGCCATAAAGAGACAAACAGACAAAAATCGCTGTTTTGCAGGAAAATAGAGATACTTAGATACATAGATTCATACATACATACATACATAATATAGAGAGAGCACATACGGAGAAAACAAACATGCACACACATAGCATGACTAATAAACAAGCTGTCTAAGGAGCTGGGGAGATGGTCAGAGAGGAGCCTGCTCTGTAAGAATGAGGACCTGAGCTCCATCCTAGCAGGAAAGTGAGGTATGGAGCACGCCCTTAATCCTGGACCACAGCGCTCATCTTAGCACTCACGGGAAAGTGAGGTGTGGAGCATGCCTGTAATCCCAGGCCTGGGGAGCTGGAGACAGATGGCTCCCTGGAGCTTGCTGGCCAGTCTAGAATTGTACAGCTCCACCTTCAGTAAGAGACCTTGTCTTAAAATAAAATGTGGACTGGAGAGGTGGCTCTGGAGTTAAGAGCACTTCCTGCCCTTGCTGAGGACCAGGGTTCAGTTCCCAGCACCCACACAGCAGATAACAATCTCTTGTAACTCCAGGTCAAGGGGATCTGATGTCCTCTTCAGACCTCCATGGACCCCTGCACAAATGTCCATGGACCCCTGCACAAATGTGGTGCACGTACATACATGCAGGAAAACACACGTGTGTGGTGGAGAGCAGCTGAGGAAGACACTTGCCGTTGACTGACTACTGGCCTACACACACATGTGGACACACAAGCACACGCACATAAAGCAGTCCATACGGAGACGCAAGTGCCAAGTTTAGGGGACAGACACTTCAACCAGTCACCGGAAACATCCAGAGATGAAAACATCTGTGAGGACAGATGAAGAAACAGAAGCCAAGGAAACAGTCTACGCCAGCCACAGTGAAGCAAGCCTGTCACCCCAGCACTCGGGAGACTAAGGCAGAAGACGAGAAGTTTGAGGTCATTCTGGGCTACACAGGGAGATCCTGTCTCAAAAATCTAAAACTGCATTATGGGTGTGAAAAATGCCCGTAGTACTGAAGGAGAAAAAGCACTGGAAGGACTTATGGCTGATGGAAGCCAACAGACAGAGTGGTCAGCGGAGACAACAGAGCGTGGGTGCGGACACACAGGCCACACCAGGCATGAACAGCAGAGCTCAGAAGAGCAGGATGGGCAGGGAAATGGTGCCAAGAGCAAACAAGCTCACCACAGAGGACCCTGAAGAGGAAAGAACTCAGTCACAAGCCTTGAGGCGCAAACGGCAGCCTCAAGGAGTCCACCTCTGCAGGGCGGGCCACTGCCTCCCAGGCAACTGAATCCTGAGACTACCTGCCCACTATGCGCCTGCATGCAGGAAGACCCATGACCAGCTTCTCCGCCTGCCTCTGCTGACAGGTTTTCTCATTGACCAGACCCCAGATTTTCTGTCCCTCAGAGCCTTGCCTGGGCTACAGTCAGTACCCACCTGGCCTCAGTGACGTTGGCAGGGCTGCCCCTGCACACCTCCAGCTGCACGTAACCGGAGCAGTTGACCCGGCTCCAGTCAGGGTCACAGACAGCCAAGAAGCTGGGTCTCAGCCGGCCGATCATGTACTTGGCCAGGTCGGTCAGAGACTGGCTCACAGCAGCCCCGAACAGGAAGGTCCCCAGCACCTTGTAGATGGCGGCCACGTAGTTGTTAAAGTCGGATCGTGAATAGAGACGGTCTGTGTACACCAGGTAGGCCTCCCCCGATGAGACCTGCCAACGGAATAGCTGCAGAGCGCACGGCAGACACCGCTCCCACGGTGCATCCTGCTAGGGAGCTGGGCCCTATCTACCTCAGGGCAGGGCTCACCCGGCCCCCACCCGAGCACTTTTCCGCCTTACAAGGATGACGGTGGCCGTGATGATGACCCCAGCCATGAGTCCGTGGGTGATGGTATCTGGACGGTAGGGGTACCGGATGGAGTCATCTTCGCAGTAGAACCCTCGTTTGTATGGTGTGTTCACCAGAGTCAGGATGACAAAGGGCAGAGAGGCTGTGGGAAGCCAGGGAAGGCACACAGTGCAAATCCTGCCCACATGGTTTCTGTCCTGGGATCATGGTCGCTCTGCCATGGCCCCATGGGAAACTCCTCGGGAGACTCCTGCTAATGAGCCCAGCTACGGAGCAGCTCTACCATGCTGCACTCTGGCCCCACCTTAGGCCTCCCTCGGGCTGACTCAACACCAGCAGCCACAGCCTCTCCACACCATACTGAAGCACAATGGCTCCTTCCCATCTCATTCCAGCCCCTGATGAGCCACCCAGGGCTCACCGGTGCTCTTCATGGCTCCTGTCGCCTTAGCGACAGTTGGCTGGGCTGCTCTGTCTGCATAAGAACACCAACTGCTGTGTTTGCGGCAGGGCACTTTTGGGGGCTCACTGCCTAGGAAGGTAGGTAAGATCATCTAGCAACACAAGGCTAGACTGCAGGGTTGTGGGGCTGTGTCACCCACATCAAGGGCACAGTCGGAGGGCTCTCCCTAGAGTCTGCCCTTTTTAAGGTGCACTGATGTTTTGCACTGTGTGAGGGTGTTGGATCCTGGAGTGACAGACATTTGTGAGCTACCACGTGGATGCTGGGAATTGAACCTGGGTCCTCTGGAAGATCAGTCAGTGCTCTTAAGTGCTGAGCCATCTCTCCAGCCCCTAGTTTCTGCTTCTTTGTCTGCCTTCATTCCAAGTCCTGAGCCACTGACAGCTACACACTGGACAAGATGGACCCAGCCCTGGATGTGGGAAGCTCAGACCAGAGCCCAGAGACACAGAACCTCTTGGAAAATGACCTGGCAGAGAAGCTGTGAACAGAGCTGCAACCTGAGATCAGGTCACAAGGACAGGACAGTGGGTAGCACCTTGTTCCACAGGCATGGGAAGACAGACACCCCAAAGAGGCAAACCTGGGCAAGTGCCCTTTGCCCGTGAGCAGGGAAGCTGGGTGTGGAGGGCGCAGCTTTCAGGCCGTGAGTGCCAGGAGAACACATGGAGATGAGCCCCCCTCAGCATGGGAAGGGGAAGTAGACAGCCAGAAAACAGTCCCTGACATGGCTGGGCCATCCCAAGGCCCAGAGGGGACATGATCCAGGAAGGTGCCAACATCATGAAGCTAAGAGGCGGGACTAAAATGTAAGGGTGACAGCAGCAATGTCCCCTGGGAGGGGTCAGGCTTCATGACAGTGAGAGAAGGCTTGAAGGAGAAGAGGCCAGAGGACAAGGTAGGATGGCCACAGAGGAGGAGAGGGAAAGGGTCAGAGAGGGGAGAGAAGGAGAAAGGGTAGAGGGTGAGAGGAGAGAGGGTCCGAGGAAACAGGTCTGAGCAAATCCCTTATCTTGTTTATAGGAAGTGGAAAGTCATAGGATCTGGTGATATCATCGCGGGAGACACTGGAGTCAGTGAGTCTGCTTAGTGGACATCCCAGGCAGACCCCTGTGCAAGGTCTGGGCAGACCTAAAGCTCAGTGCATGGCTGGGCTGCATGGCAGGTGTGAGCCAGGGCACCGACTCCCTTCCTCCTTCCGTGGGTATCTTTCGGGGATCCACCAACAGGCAAGGGCCTCCTTCATTCGTGCTCGCTGGGCCGTCCTGCCAGCACTCGAAGTCTGTGCTGACTAAGGGGAACAGGCTGGCATTGGCCTCCTCCTGCTGCTGTGACTCCCTGGGTAACTCCGCCTCTGGGGACCCAGGACTTCCCAAGGAAAAAATGTAAACTATTTCCAAGTCCTCCAGCCCCTGGCACAGAGTTAAAGCAACAGAAATGTTTTAATAAACCCATACGGTCAAAAAGTGTGCCCAAGGCTCGGGGATGTCCCTCGGGGCCTCTTGGCTGCCAAAGGGCGAAGCTAAATAAGGTATCCTTCCGGGATACGGAAGGTGGACCAAGAGAGGGAGATGCAGAATAAGGGAGGACAGACAATACCCTGTCACCACCTTCGGTGTAGGATCCAGTCACTCACTGTCTCCCGGGCCCCCGAACAAACACTTGGCCTTTGTTCGCGCCTAGGGGGTTCGGAATGCTCCTCCCCACGGCTTGAACCGGACTGGCAGGTTTGTCTGTGCGAGCCTGGACGTCCCCGCCTTCCGAGGGCACCGTGCTGGACCTTGGCCACGAGTCACTGGCCTGCAGGGTCTTGGTGCCGCCCCGCCCAAGTGAGTCACGTCGCCCCGAGGTACTCAAGCGACTTCCTGTTGCTGGCTTGCTGGGACCCACACCCCGGGAATAGCCACAGGTAGAGAGGCAGCCCCGATCCTGCCAAGCGCCCAGGAGGGCTGGCAGGGCGTGCACAGGGAAGTAGGGAGCACCGGTCACCACCGTCGGCATCCCGAACGCGCACTGGCAGGAGGGACCGTGGGAGCGTGCACTTGGGAGAGAGTTCCCGTTCCCGGGTCCCGAGATTCTTACCGACCAACACGCACAGCACGTCCAGCAGCACGAAGACCCACCTCCGCTCCATGTCGCCCCCGCCCAGGGACGCCCGCGACTCCCGCTGGTCCCAGTTGTTCCGGAGCGTCCTAGCAGCCCCAGGATCACATGGCCGTGGAGACTGCCCGGCCCAGGGAAAGGGTTGGGCTTGAAAAAAGGGCCCGAGCGAGGCGGAGGCGGGGCTGGGGGAGGGCGTGGCACGAAGAGAAAGTGCGGAGGCAGGAGGGGAAGGAGAGGGCGGAGGCCCTGAGGGGTGTGTTTACCACGTTGACCCCTGCGAGGAAGGGCTGGGGCTTCGGGCTGGGAGGGGAATCAGGACAAACAGAAGTCTCCTAGCTGGGCGAAGTCTCCAGGCTGGCTTTCCGGAATCTCCGGGTTGAGAATATGCCTCCAAAGCTTGACTGGGGTCTCCCACCTGGAAAGGAGTCTTCTGGCCACCGAATGTCTAGGATTCAGGCTGGAGGTCACCCAAGCGTCCCCAGCACTTCTGCGGAGTCTGCAGTTGTAATGTATGCAGAGAGTTGCGGGTAGAGCAAGCTGACAGCCGCCTGGGCAGCACTGAGCACACTCAGGAGTTGATCTCCTCAGCCTTTCCGAGGGAGGGCACCTGACACCTCTGAAACCAGCACGGGGTGACCGGGCTCAGACAGAGACCCGCCTTTCCTCTAAGCTAGCATCTTGTGGTCCCTGACATTTAAAGAGGTTCCTTAACATTCCCAGTCAGGGTCAGGATCACGCCCCTTAGCACTGTAGGGATCCATCACCACAGAGGTTCTGAGGTTGACCCATGAATGCAGCCCCAGACCACCCTGTCCCAGGGTTGTCCTGGAGCCCTGGGCCAGGGACATTGGGGCATGTGGACTCTGGAGAGAAAGTTCAGGCTACAATGCATGTGTAAGAGGCCACCTCACTAAGCCTTTCACTCCGGAGATCACAGCTCCTTGAGGCTCCACCTAGGCCACACTCATGGCCACCATCAGCCTTTCTCCCATCACAGAGTTGAGTTTCAAGATGGTTGAGACTTGAGGATAGGGGAGGACAGGAGAGGACCAGATCCTGGATGAAAGTCCAAGATTCCCCAACCTGCTCCTGCCGGATGTCATCTGGTGTAGGACTGTCCAGAGAGGTCCCGAGAGAACCCAACTGCCTGCCCTTTGGTGCTGGGATGGGGAAGCTCATGGGTAGGAGAGGATCCCTGCACCCTAGACGTCGCCTATAGAGTTGGCAGGCAGCACCTTCGACACACAGTAACCTGCCAGCCACTGAGTCTGGACAAGGGCTGTGCAGAAACCTGGCTCCAGGTTGTCTGCACCCATCTCCAGCATCCACCCCCACCAAGGCCGCAGGCTGGACTCTGAGGATGGGGCTCTGTTTGAGAGCACTGTGAGCAGACCTCCCTGACGCCCGCACAGCATTCGCTCACACCATCCACACACGTGTAGAGGACATCCTTCGCTGCTGCTGCTGCTGCTGCTGCTGCTGCTGCTGCTGCTGCTGCTGCTGCTGCTGCTGCTGCTGCTGTAGGTACACGACTCGGGTGCCAAGGTTATGCCTGCAACACTTGTGGCTTGTGTGCCAGCTCCTGACTATTCATATGAATAGTGGCATCCTCTCTGCCCCCTTTAACCTCTGATTACCCGGGACCTAACCATTAGGAAGTCTTAGCAGGTTAGGACAGCACTGCAGTTGTGTGGAAAATACACCAGGGTCCCTTAAGCTTAATGCCTACTGTGTGCTGAGAGGAGGGGGAGTGAGAGAATAGGCTGGAGCAGGGCTGGGGAGCGTGAGGAAGGAGGAGGGTGAGCCTAGAGGGGATGAATGGGAGGAACTGGGGGGAGGAGAAGCCTGGACAAGCTCGGAAGGATTGGGGTCAGTGTTAAAACCTTGTGGAGGTAGCAAAAATTAGGATTAAGGTTAGGATTGGGGTCATGGCTCCTAATCAATTACCAACGTGGCCACAAATAGTGAGAAACTTCCCTAGCAGAATTCTCCCTCCATGCTACGCCAAGCTGCCTATCCTGCACAGGGCCCCCAGGAGGAGTGGCTTTTTCCTGGGGCAATGGAGTTCAGGCTTAGCTCCAGCCCTGGGGACTCAGTGTCTCTGAAGGAATACTCCAAGACACTCAAAGTGGCCATCGGGATCTACAGTTATTAGACACCACCTGCATACAGGCGGCCTCAGCTCTCCATTTCCCTGGGGATCTGGAGGGTGTTTCAGGGCTCCCCTCCCCAGAGTCAGGGTACGGGTTCCACACAGTCTGATGCAGGCAAGATGAAGGCCAAGGCAGGGAATTTGGGTGTGTCCCTGTGGACAGACCCTGCAGCCTAAGACCCCTGGAAATACTCAGCAGGAAGCACCTCGCAAGCAGAGGCGAGTGGGCCACCATCAACAGGACCCAGTGCACTGCAGAACAAACCTTCTGCCCTCCCTGAGTCCTCACCCCACGCCAGTCACCTGCAAGGTCCAAGCTGGGCAGCTCCTGCCCGTTACCTAGCCACTCCCCTGCGTGAGCACCAGGAGGCAGCGGCTAGAGGATGCACACCAGCAGTGTGTAGGACTGGAGACGGCTGAGCAGGGCACTGGCTGCAGTGGTGCAGTGGTGCGCTGGCTGCAGTGGTGCGCTGGCTGCAGTGGTGCGCTGGCTGCAGTGGTGCAGTGGTGCGCTGGCTGCAGTGGTGCAGTGGTGCGCTGGCTGCAGTGGTGCAATGGTGCGCTGGCTGCAGTGATGCGCTGGCTGCAGTGGTGCAATGGTGCGTTGGCTGCAGTGGTGCACTGGCTGCAGTGGTGCGCTGCTCTCACACACAGTGGGACAGGGCAGGTGTGAGCAGCACTGCAGTCCCCACACAGCCATTCCTCACAACGGCTGCCTCCTTCCCTGCTGCCGCTGCTGCTCAGGACCTAGTACATACAAAAATAAAAAGCGGAAGCACCATACTGAGGGGCAGGCACAGAGGGACTTCGTGGCAGCCAGCTGAGGGCTCTGGGACACGAGGTAGACACCTTGTGACCCCACTGTTATTGCTAGTCCCTCAGGGTGTGACAGGTGTCCGCTGGGCAGAGCTCCAAAGGAGCAGGGAGTGGATCCCGCCCCCGCGGACCACCTGCCCTCAGTTTGTTTACACGGAGGCTCTGTAGGTCCCCCTCAAGTCACCATTCCTGTGACCTCATGCCAGCCACAAGGCCTGGACGAGATGACTGCACGGGGTGGGGCTGTGGACCAAGCAAATGAAAAGACAAAGCCCAGAGGGTCTGAGCAATGGGCTAACAAGCCGTTATCAGCAGAAACATAATTCTTGATAATATGGAGCCAAGGCGGTGCATAGCTGGTCTGTCAGGGGAATCTGAGTACCCATATTTTACCCGGTGACCCCATCAAGAAACTACAGACTGGGAGACTGAGGACCACTGAGAAATGAGCATAAGTCTAGACAACGGAGTCAGGCCTGGGTCCATCATACCCTAGAGCTCTGACCAAGTCAGAGAGCCTGAGCTCAGGGCAGTGGCAGGCCCAGATCCTCCAGTTCCGGAAGGCCTTCTCCCTCCTCCAAGGCTGTCTTGAGAAGCCCCATCCAGGTTCGCAAGCCAACATCCCCTTGCTTGGTCCAGCACAGATTCCCACACTGTGCACAAAGGCCTGGTCCCAAGGGCTGTTACCAGCCTGAGGTCTAGGCTAAAAAAACAGGGACAGCACTGGTAGGAACGACCTGTAGCCATTTGAACTCATGAGGGTGGCCTGGCATCTGCCCCAGCTGCAGATGGCGAGGGCTGCCAGCCCAGTTCTGATCCCCAAGTCGTCAGTGTCCTGTACAAGGCACAGATGCTGTGAAGTCACCGTCAGCATGATGCAGAATTCAGGGTGCGCCTCTCAATTCCAGCTCCCCTGGTGTCCCAACATAATTTCTGCAGCAGCCCAGGGCCCTCCTAGGCTCCATACAAGAATCTGCAAACCTCTTGGCCTAGAGGCATGTCCTGCAGCTGGTCTATGCTCCCAGAACCAAGCAGAACATGCCACAGACATAGAAACTGCTCTAGGGTCTCAGCTGCCCCTGCATTCACACCAGAAAATCCCATCTATGACATGAGACTCAGGAAATCTCACCCAAGGACCTGCTGGCAGAACTGGAAAGACACAGGCCTTCCACAGGGAAGACACAGGGCTGCAGATCCTCAGAAACAGCCAGACACGAAGAAAGGCTAACATGGCAGCAAGTGAGCTGAGGGAACAGGAAAGTGGGCAGAGTCTTCTAGGACCCTAATCAGCAATCAAAACTTGTCAAAACTACACAGGTATTTTGGGCGTGGCGGCTCAGGCCTACAATCCCAGCACTCAGCAAACTGAGAAAAGGGGATTAGCAGGGGCCAGCCTGGGCTACACAGTGAGTTTGGGGTCAGTCCAGAGAGCTGGCTCAGCAGCAGCCTGAGGACTGAAGACCTGGGAATAAGATGGGCGAGAACCTCCCATGACATGGATACATCCATAGTATACATACAAATAAACAGAAAACACAGGACTGGAAATATGTCCGTGGTACAGAACTTGTCATGTAAAGGCCTTGGAAAGGAAGGATGAATAGACACACACCCTCCCCTCTCTCCTTTCCCCCTCCTAGGCAGAAGAATGGCAGGTTTCAGACTAGACTGTTCTACAGTCTGAGGCATCTTAAACTACACAGCAAGACTCTGTCTGTAAACAAAACAGAAAACCAACACATAAAATACAACAGTAACAGAATACAAAGAGACAGCAGACACAACAGAGTGTTTCAGCAGAAAAATTTAAAAAGATTTCAAGACTATGAATGGACCTGGAGTATCAGAAAAGATGCCAGTTCCCTGTGCCAGGTTAATAGGAGCCATATGAACAGAGGGGTGGATGGGAACAGACCTCCCACAGCATGGGATTCTCAGCTCCCACGCGCTCTCTCCTCTCCCAGACTGCCTTCCTTCTTCTCTGCCTTGGGCCCCACTGTCTGGGTCTAATCGCCCTGTCCCTGCCCAGCCTATTTGCAGTACCCAAGGAAGCGATGCCAGGTACAAGCTTCCAATGGTGTCTACACAGAATACCCTTCCCAACCTACTGTCCCAGCAAACACTGACCTCTGCCCACCACCCTAGGGCTCTGCCCCAAGTGTCTCCTCTGCCATTGGCTCCACCCAAAGTCGACTGATACTCCACGTTTGAGCTTTACTGGCAACTTCCAGGCTGCCTGGGCCTATGCCATGGGGTCCTGTGTGACCTGTTGACCCCACGCCTCTCAGATGTGCTCTGCTGTGCAGCCAGACTCTTACCCAGAGTCCCTAAGCGTTAACAAGGGCAATGTAGGTTCCCCAGCTCCTGCCAAGCCACCATAGACACCCCAGGCTTCAAATCAAGTTTAATAAATAAAATAGAGTTGGGCAAAGGCAGTCTCACATCACAGTGTCCTCGGTGGGGCGAGGGACGGTCCATTCCAGCCACACAGGCTCAAACAGCACCGCTCTGCCAACACCGGGCGGAGCTGCCTGCCCAGGGACCCCACTCCAAATTGTAAACACCAACATAAATAAAACGAGGGAGGCCGAGGACGAGACGGACGGACCCAGCCACCCTGCTAGGAGCCTCCAAAGAAATGAGACCCTCAGGACAGGAGGACTGCAGGGTGGTGCTTCCAGAGCGGTACCCAAAGGTGCCCCAAGGAGAGGGGCAGGAAGGGAACGGACCACCAGGGCTGCTGAGGCCCCACCTCAGCACAGGGGAGGGGTGCGGGCAGGAGGCAGTGGGGTATAAAGTGCGGCTTTTCCTGAAGTGGAGACGGCAAAGGGCTGAGAAAGGGCGGCCACAGGGCGAGGTATATGGCTCTGTGCCCCAGGGTCCCACGCTGAGCAGAGGCTGGCGGCCACAACCCCGCTGAGGTGGGGAAGGAGTTGGCCTGTGGAGGGCGCCTGGGCAGAGGCTGCTGGTTCATAATGAGTCTGCCCAGCCCCTGCAGTCTGAGGCCCATCGCTGGGTCCACGTGGGGATGGGCCCTCTCTGAGCCCAGTTCCAGGGTGACTCCATGGCATGGTAGCAGCCAGGGGCTGTGGCGGTACTGGATGCTGAGGTCTGTGGTCTGTGTGGCCCTGACCACTTCACTGAGTCCCATCATGTTCTGAAGCAAAGGAGGCACCACGCAGGCCTGCGGGGGAGGGGTCAGGAAGACTGACGGGCAGGCCTGGCAGTGCTGCCATGTCCATTCTGAGCGCACGTGCCCACAGATGACCAGGGGTCAACAGGTCATCACATTGCACCTATGAGAAATCGTAAGAAAGGGTCAGTAGCTGAGTGACCCAGGCCTTGCCCATCCCCGCCCACTGCTCCCACCCAGAGCATGGCTCTGGTTTCTGCCTAGACAGAGCCTGGAGCCTGCGCCCGCTTGGAGCTTTGTGAACCTATCACCACACCAAGCACTAAGGAAGCCAAGAGGAGGTACAGACAGGGCAGCCACAGTCCACTGGAGGCAGCTGTGCCCTGGGCACTGGCCAGCCCGCAGAAGGTGCTAAGGATGGCACTCACTGTGACAAAGGCTCCGAGCGCAGTGTGGAGGCTGGGCACGTGGGGTGGCCAGTTAGGAAGGGGTTCACATCTCCAATGCCAATGAGTCCAAATTCAGTGACTGACAAGGCCATCTGTGCTGGAGCCATGGGCTCTGCAGTATCCTCGCTCAGATCCACAGGGCTGGACACAAGGGGCAGTTCCTCAGGTAGGGCAAGGTCCACAGCTAGTCTGGGGCTGGTGCCCGGCTCTGGAGCAGGAGTGGCAGTGGCAGCAGCCACCACCAGTGGGAGTTCAGCCGGGACAGCCAGGCTGCTGGGCTGCTGGAGTGAGGCCACAGCAGGGGGCTCCTCCAGAGGCTGGAACGAACATGGTTTTGGCTCTGAGGATGGGAGCTCAGCTGAGCCCACTCCGGGCTGATCGAGACCACCAGCTGCAATGTCCACACTCGGTAGTTCTGAAGGGAGAACAGGGGAACGTCATCAGCCCCCACAGCCCCACATGCTCCTCTTGGGTCTCACGGATGTGGGGCATTCTTAGCCGGCCCAGCCACAGAGACTGAGGTCAGGAGCAGGTCTTGTCTATGGACAAGCTATGGCTTTGTAAACTAGCTCAGTAGACAGAATGAAACAGGACCCTGCTGGGCAGTGTGAACACTGGACAGTCCTGCGAACCCACAAGTACCACACAGGGAACCATGCAGACACAATGCCAGAGCACTGAGATGAGGCCTCTGCCAACAGACAGACGTAGAAGCAGAGTCCTTAATCGTGTGCCCTGCATGAATACACTTCTGTTCCCTTCTAGTCAGGGTCAGCACGAGTGGCACTAGGAGCGAGACCCCGCAGGCCCACTGCTCACTACAGAGACAGTGTTGCAAGGCTTGGGTTCCCTGTCCTTACCCACAGCCCTGCCTCATGAGAACTCACCTATGGGCACCCCTGCCTCAGACTCCTGCTCAGGGCGCAACCGGGCAGGGCCATCGGGGTCAAGGCCATCCAGGTCCTGCTCACCATCCCTGTGGAGAGAGGGCTATGAGAAGGAAGCCAGGGAAGCAGGGCTCCAGCAGGAGGGACTGCCCCATACCCCCACCCACCCACCCTGGCCAATGGCTAGCATGAGCACGCACGTGATTCCAGAGGAGACGAACTTTCTCCGGCCCAGCCGCGTCTGCTGGGCAAAGTAATCATAACGCTCAGATTTCTTCCACAGGTAGTAATACTCCACACACTCGCCCACTGACCGCGTGCGCACCTGTATGGACCACAAGCATGCGTTGGGCCTACTGCACAGCTGCAGCCACAGGGCAGCAGGAAAGGCTCCCCACAGGAACCTCTGAGACCCCACCTGTTCCATCAACTAGCTCCCAGCCTTCTTTTCCTGACACCGTGAGAACCGGCCTCACCCCGTGGGCAATTGCCTCCTGCATCTCGGCTCCATGGCCCAGGACATCTGTGCTGCTCCCCATGAGGTGCACAGACAAACAGCCTCCAGCCAGAGGGCAGTGCAAGTGTAGGATGCTAGCCCCGGGAGTCAGCGGCTAGTGTGAACACGGACTGGAGCCGTCCTGAGGACACTGCTGGGGCCCCGGGAGTCAGCGGCTAGTGTGAACACGGACTGCACCCGTCCTGAGGACACACACAGCTGAGGCCGTGCACTGCTGGGCCAGTGCTGCCCATCCACAGTCAACCTCCAGGAGACACAGCTCACGCATAATTTACAAGTTTCTTGGTTTACAAGAGGAAACCCCAAGCTGCATACGGGTGGGGTCCAGGATGAATCAGGAAAAAGATGCCAGCCGAGCACCAGTATCCACCTGGCAACTGGGAGAGAACTCATGTGACCATCACCTCTTGTTCCCATCACCATGGTAGACTGCACCATCAAATCATAACCAATAACAGATGTCCCTAAGATGCTTGTGGCTAGAGGTTTGGTCACAGCAACAAGCGACTAATACAGAAAACCAGTGCTGAGAAATGTCACTGGGTGGACAGACTGACCGTGTGGTCCTCAAGTATCTGGGAGGACGGAGAAAAAGTTTGAAACTTGAGTTAGAAGCTCTAGGCTCTAGTGCCTAGCAGAGTTTCTTGACCACTCTGGTAGGAACCCCGAAGGGCAGTGTGGAGAGAAACATGCACAGTGGAAGCCGCGAGGTTCCCATAGGGAACAAGGCTGGCTACATTTTGGCAAAACCTCTAGCTTCCTCCTGTTTGGTTGCTGAACACTGGAGTGTGGCTGAACTCAAAAGTAACAGACACGGCTGGGCAGTGGCACATACTTTTCATCCCAGGAGTAGGGAGGCAGAGGCAGGCGGATCTCTGAGTTCAAGGCCAGCCTGGTCTACAGAGTGAGTTCCAGGACAGCCAGGTATATGTAGAGAGATCCTGTCTCAAAATATAGATACAGCTGCTCCATGGAGACTTCAAGAACTGCACCCTGTCCAGATGCGGCCGCAGCAGCTGCAGCACATGCGTTGTGCACTGCACCTACTCAGATCAACAGTGACAGAGAACAGAGAAGAGAACGTGAAGTTCGGTGGGAACACAGACCTCAAGTGAGATCCCGGTGCTGCAAGTGCAGCTTCGAGCACCGTGTCCCTAAGCCCTGCGATGGGAGAGTGGAGCAGACACAGAAACCAGCACAGAAGGTCCACTGAAGCCTAAGTCCATGAGGAAGGAGCACGGACCGAGGTCGCTGACAGGGCCCCTTCCTCAAAGCAAGTGCCCAAGCGAACTAGCTCCCCAGGTGCAGCCAAGGAGCAGAGGCCACCAAAGCACCGGCACTAAGGGCTACCACAAGCTGGGCTGGCAGGAAAACCCAGCAGCAACAAGCACAAGCGCTGTCTTTGCAGACGCAAAATGCCAAGTGCAAGAGGGCACGGAGGCCTGCACCGGCGTGCTGGAAAGCCACTGCAAGCTCCGAAGGTAAAGCCCAAATCCAGTGGAGATGCTGGGGTGCCGGGGGTACCAGAACCAGGAAAAACGGCAGGCATAGCGTGGAGCTGTGGCAACACAGCTACAGTGGCGGGACTATGAAGTCATCAGGAGCAGGACCCAAGCTGTGGCGTGTGGGATCAGCCAAGCAGGGTCTCAACAGTGCTTTCGGCTCATGCAGAAAGAACAGTACTGCATGTCGAGCCCCACTGGACAGAGTATGAAGCTTAGAGTTTTGCTTTTCTTTGTTTTCTTGCTTGAGACAGGGTTTCTCTGTGGAGCCCTGGCTGTCCTAGAACTCGCTCTGTACACCAGGCTGGCCTTGAACTTAAAAAGAGACTGAGTGCTGAGATTAAAGACATGAGCCACCATGCGGAGCAATTTATGTGTGAGTATTTATCTGCATGTATGTATGTGCACCATGTGTATACGTGGTGCACCTGGAAATCAGAGAGGGAACAGATCTCTCAGAACTGAAGTGACAGGCATTGTGAGGCACTGCCCTGTAAGGGCAGCCGGTGCTCTTGACTGCGGAGCCATCTCCCCAGCCTATAAAAGCTATGCAGAGAGAGGTACAGGGAACTGGATGCATTCTCATCAGGAAGAATCCAGGAGAAAGGGAACTCCAGTGTCCAGTCACCTAAGTGACACACACAATCGGCGTGTCAGAGAGTCTCCGGAGAGATGTAACTGGGTATGGAGAACACACCCTGAATGTGAAGGCACCATGCAATAAGTAGTGGTTCTGGGTGAATAAAGGGGAAGCAGCTGACTCCTGCTCTCAGCCCTGCCCCGCATGAGTGACAGCCTTTCACTTTGGAAGGCAAACACAGGCCCTTCCTGAACCTCTCATAACACAGTATCTTACCATGGCACCAGAGCAGTGACAGACAGGACACAGGTGCAGTGACTGACAGGACACAGGTGCAGTGACAGGAAGTGACTGACAGGACACAGGTGCAGTGACAGGGAAGTGACTGACAGGACACAGGTGCACTGACAGGAAGTGACAGACAGGACACAGGTGCACTGACAGGAAGTGACTGACAGGACACAGGTGCAGTGACAGGAAGTGACAGGACACAGGTGCGGTGACAGACAGGACACAGGTACAGTGACAGGAAGTGACTGGCAGGACACAGATGCAGTGACAGGAAGTGACAGACAGGACACAGGTGTGGTAACAGACAGGACACAGGTACAGTGACAGGAAGTTACTGGCAGGACACAGATGCAGTGACAGGAAGTGACAGACAGGACACAGATGCAGATGCCAGGCTTCATCTGTGGTGCACCAGGTAGGCTGGAATGATGTGGGAGTGTCATATATCAATCTGTTGATTTCATTGGTTAATCAATAAAGAAAATGCTTGGCCTGAGAGGTTAGAACATAGGTGGGTGGAGTAAACAGAACAGAATGCTGGGAGGAAGAGGAAGTTAGGCAGATGCCATGCCTCTCCTCTCCAGGGCAGACGCCATGAAGCTCCTACCCAAGATGGACGTAGGCTAGAATCTCCCTGGTAAGTCACTACCTTGTGGTGCTACACACATTAATAGAAATGGGCCAAGCAGTGTTTATATGAATACAGTTTGTGTGTTGTTGTTTCGGGTAAAGCTAGCCAGTGGCTGGGAGCCAGGCGGCAGGAACGCAGTCCACAGCTCCATCTACAGAATGGCGCCTAGATGTGGATGACTGAATCCACAGAAAGCCTGAGAAGGCTTGGGAAAGAGTAAAGCATGTTTTGTTGGTAGCGACAATTTCTCGGGTCTGCTCTGCTTGCTAGAGGCAAGCAAGTGCTCTCACCTAAGAGAGGCTTCCTGACTCAGCTTTAGCTGCAAAACCCTGCAGCTCTTAAGAGGTCCTGCCACGAAACACTTAAATGGTGTTGATAAAAGCTGACTGCATGCTTGTTTGTTTTCAGCCATAGCAGGAAAAAGTTGTGCTGTTTTAAAATACTGGCGTTCTGGTCCGTACTGCCAGGGCAAACTCTGACTCTTTCAGAGAGGCAGGCCTATTGAGTATGGCCTGTGAGCAGAGTGCTGCAGCTTGCTTGCTGGCAGGGACCTTGAAACACCATAGAGTTGTGGCGATAAACATGGCTACAGCCGGTACCTCTGCCATGAGGCTGTAAAGCTAAGGAATGGGCTGGATCTAGCCGCCAAAGCCAAGGCTTTAGTCCTACCAATATTGCTTGGTAAATGAAAGACTCATGTGTTCAAAAAAGAGACATATACAGTAAAAGAAAGATTCAAAGTTGGAAGAAAATGTCTAAATGGTTTACAGTGTGTTAAAAATATATGCAGGCTAAAAGTTAAAGTTCTTTTTTTTTTTTGTTTTTGTTTTTTGTTTTTTTTTGTTTTGTTTTGTTTTTCGAGACAGGGTTTCTCTGTGGCTTTGGAGCCTGTCCTGGCACTACCTCTGTAGACCAGGCTGGTCTCGAACTCACAGAGATCC